GAAAAGGTGGAGTCTATTTACTTGTAACCACGCTGTGTATATATTATGGTTCAGACTGAACTAAATTTTATGCTCCAGTTGCTCTTAATTTTGATAAAGAATAAAACTGGTTTTTTAAACACAAACATATATAAATACTTAATGACTGTCTTGTGTAAAGAAGAGATAAACACAACAATTTGATAAATAAATCAAAGTCAAATGGATTAAATTCTGCTGTACTATTTTAAATATATTTTTAAAGCTCTCACCAACACTAAAAATTACAAGGTATCTACAACCCCAAAACTCTGTTTAACTGTCTGTTTGCCGTGATAACAAATTAAGTCGTATGTTTTTAACCTATGTATGATAATATAAGAACCAGCCTTAAAAACTCAGTCTCAGCATGGTATTTGTAAGGCAACAAAAGGAATTGAAATAATTATATTAAAATCAGGGCACAGACTAAATTTATTCTGAATTACAGTTTTTTTTTTAACAATTTCAACCATTTTTCTTGTGTTTAAGAAAAACTATTACATAATTATTGTACTGTGAGTTTATTAATCCTGTCCATGTGACATTCTTGGGTTAAACATGTATATGATGAAGCTACATATTCAAGAGCTTTTCCAATTCCAGTAAACAACTAACATACCTTAGAGTAAAATATCCCACATAAATTTTAATAACGTTATTTAATGAAGTATAATAATTTATATTTAGTCTTTAGATAGATCATAAATAAATTAAAAGGTGTGAGCATTTATGAAAGAAAAAATCATATAAGACAGTTTAATAGGTACATTAAATTTTGAAATATTGTTTTAATGATTAAAATATGTGAACACATTTCCTTTATTTATACTTTAGAAGTACCATTATTAGTGCAATTGCACTGTACAGGTAATCACTTGGATTACTTTCATTTTTAAAATACCATTTGAGAGACTTTCCTGCAAAGCACTCTACTTATTAAATGTAAAATAACATCATAGTACATAAAAGTAAGTGGAAAACCTATAAAGTACTCAAAAGAAATTTTGTTTGTTTGTTTTTGAATTTCGCGCAAAGCTACACGAGGGCTATCTGCGCTAGCCGTCCCTAATTAGCAGTGTAAGACTAGAGGGAAGGCCAACCGCCAACTCTTGGGCTACCAACGAATAGTGGGATTGGGCGTAACATAATAACGCCCCC